GTGTGTGTGTGTGTGTGCGAGACGCAGACAGCCGCCAAAGAGACAGACAGCCAAAAGTTATTAAATTAAAGATGTAATTTGTCCATTTTAGGAAACTTGCATAAAAGTTATTCATCTTTTTGATTAATTAGGACAATTGACTAATTTGGCACCACTGTAAGTGAGCAGTAATTTCAGGCAGTCCATAGATTTCAATCATAGATTTATTTAGTCAGTCAGTCAGTCAACCAGTCAGTCCACCTGTCAAACATCCAGGCACTCAGTCTGTCTCACAGCTAGTAAATTACCCCATTACCCAGGCAGTCAACCAAACACTATCCAGTCAGTCAACCAATGACCCTTGATCTATTTGATACTGGAATGCAGCCAGAAAAAAAAAAAAGTAACACTAGTGGCTACATACTCCAGGAAATTGATTGGTTTAATTGATTGTGATTGCCTGTTGTTTACAGTCTAAAACAGAAAAACGAGGTTGTCAGGATAGAGAGCTGTCAAGGGCACAGACAGACAAAGACAACAACTGGAAATGTGAAGTGGCAGCAATAAAGGGCAAAGCTTATGTTTTCTGCTTGCCTGCCTGCCAGCAGAGTGTGGACAGGACTCTCCAGTGCGCCCTGTCCCCAGGAGGGGCGGGGTGGGTGGCAGAGTGTAGGGACAGAGGGAGAGAGGGAGAGGAGAGAGGAGGGCAGGACTGGCAGGGTGCGGTCTGAAGTGGCAACAGATCGTTTTGGATCACTCAAATCCCTTCAATTCAACTGGAAAGCTGCAGCTTGTTGCACGCCGGCCGCATATGGAGAGGAAAAGCTTTCAATCCAGAGAGGGCACCAACCAAACAGCAGGCGACAGTGGCTGATGTTGTGACAGTTTCCCAGAGAAAAAGAAAGAGAGGGAGAGAAACCACAACACTGCAACTTGGATATCAGTAACCACTCTCTCTCTTTAACTCTCTCACCCACCAAATCGACTTTGAACCTGTTTGTTTAAATACACGGACTTTACAGCCTGCACACTTACTGTTGATTCTGTAAGGCGGAGGGATCGGAGTTTCTCAATTTGGCTCAATATTTTTTGGAGCAACTCAGAACTTTTTGGTGTCCTCATGGTGCCTGGCGCAGCCGAGGTGCTGAGCTTCTTTTATCCGAGTTTTTCGGACGTGATGTTGCGACTGTCACGGACGATGGAGTCGGGAACTGAACCGGGGAGGTACTGAAGACATCTCTCTCCCCCGGGAGAGTGCTCCCTCCCCCCGGGGCGATGCGGATCTCCTTCCTCCTTCTCACCGCCTCTCTGTGTGCCTTGGTCCTCCTCCTCGCACCTGCCTCGGAGGGCTGCGGGCCGGGGAGGGGGTACGGCAGGAGGCGGCCCCCGACCAAGCTCATCCCGCTCGCTTACAAGCAATTCAGCCCCAACGTCGCCGAGAAGACCCTTGGAGCCAGCGGGAGACCCGAGGGCAAAATTACGCGCAACTCCGAGCGCTTTAAAGAACTGACCCCGAATTACAACACAGATATTATCTTCAAAGATGAGGAGGACACGGGCGCCGACAGGCTCATGACCCAGGTAAGGAGGGGGGATGAATGAGAACGTGGATGGAAAACATCTGACACAGATGCTGGACCAGTGTTCCTGCGTGCTGCTGATTGACACCTACTGTGGCTATAGTTGCAAAAAATAAATGACAAAATAAACAGAATTTACAGTGTTTCATGGTTGATCCTGATCTGACAGGAGCAGAGTCACTGAATGAGCTCAATCACTTAAAACTAGATTAGCCACTGTTGTGTCCAATTGTCTGCTGAATGTTTGCTGTCGGTTAAATGTTTAAACCAAAATGATAGATTTCATTGACTCTCGGCCCTTCGCTTCACCTCTGGATTTTGCTACCTGACACACTTAGCTGCACTCACGTATTGCTTTAACCCCCCCTACTGAGCCTTGCTTTGTTGCGTAAAACATTTTAGGGTTAAACCCAAGGCTATGGAGGATACATTTAACCAACCAATAAAGTAATCTTGATCTTAGTGTCTCAGTGTTTCATAGTCTTCATGTTTAATGGTCCACAAGAAGGCACCTTGTAATTGTAACAGCTGGAGCAGTGGCTCCAAGTATAAACCCAATCTCTGGCCACCCTTGTTTATCCTATAAATCGGATCATAGACAAAACAAATAGCCTACCTTAATCTAGCATTAATTTGTTTATTAATTTATAAATGCATTCAGTGATGGACATAAACATTAACAGCAATAAATCCATTATTTCCAAAGTGATCTCCACTGCTGAGAGGCATCTTGATCTGATACTGTATGTACTTTGGCCATTTACCTGACACAATGGTAATAGAGTTATTATTTACATTTCTTTGTATGTGTTTTGAGGTATATTATATGCCCTCATCACTTTAGTCTTAGTACCCGATGGACATGTTGTTTGCTTTTTAGTCACTTTCTTGTACTCCTTCTCTTTATCTGTCTGGGCTACACTGTTTCTCTTTCCTTCTTCCTACTCTTTTTCTACCCTCTCTTTCCTGCCTTAATGCGATGACTCTTACTATCTGCCCTACCACACAAACACACACACACACACACACGTATTTTCCCCCCTCTGAACTCGGGTAGGTCTTTGTTAATCACATTGCTTCAACCATCCCTCAGACTCATCACGACCTTTCTCTACCTCCAGCTACTCTCTCAGCATTACAACTTCATTTTGTATTTGTTTTGTTTGTTTCTAACAGACCGCCTTTCTTTTCCCCTCCATGTACCTCTTTTTAGCGTTGTAAAGACAAGTTAAACTCTCTGGCCATCTCTGTGATGAACATGTGGCCGGGTGTTAAGCTGAGAGTGACAGAGGGCTGGGATGAGGATGGTCATCACTCAGAGGACTCGCTGCACTATGAGGGACGTGCTGTCGACATCACCACCTCAGACAGGTAGGCAAGTTATGTGGTAGGCAACATTTAAAATGCTTTCAATTTGTCAGTTTACTTATCAGTAAAGTGATAGAAACTAGTTGTTTGTTTTTGATGACTCAAATTTGGATTTATGATCAAATCCAATTACATTTCACGATATAAATACATGTATAGATGTCAGTGGGAAATTAAAGGTCTTCTGTGCAGATTTGGAAAAGTATGCAAAGTAAGCTGAAATTGAATCACATTTGGAGTTCACAATCTATCTTTCTATTCTTTTCCATAGGGACAGAAATAAGTATGCCATGTTGGCCCGGCTTGCTGTAGAAGCTGGATTCGACTGGGTCTACTACGAGTCCAAAGCCCACATTCACTGTAGCGTCAAGTCAGGTAAGAGATGGATATGAGTGACAGTGTGTGCATATTATCTGTGTTTGTATGTTTTTTTGTGTTTTTGGCCAGGTGTCATTACCACTAATGAGGTTGATACCAGACCCTTTGTTGGTGATTCACTAATGGTTTACCTTGCCTTTCAGCGCCGCTGTCATCAGTCTGTGTGTGTTTGTGTGTATGGCCTATTGGGAGCCAATCAAAGCAGGGTGTGCACCTGTGCTCTTTGCTGTATTCACTTCTTGGTCAGATCTCATCATAACGTGATCTTTCTTTGTGATTGTAGAATATTCAGCTGTATAATGTGCACACAGAGAGAGTACCATTTTTTACATGGATGTAGGCTACGTATAGTGGTGGAAACGTGCAGAGCTAATAGTACATTGACATCTCACCCTCCTTTCTGTATTTCAATATTTGACTGTTTAATATTTGCCAGTTTCATTGTTAATATTAAGTTGCATTACTCCAACACACACTTTATGAAACACAAATCTGATACAGTCAGATGCATGACCGCATTCCACCTCCAGCAATTCTAACTCTTGATACACATTAGAAATCCATTTACCCATGTCTGGTACCACAAGTTATTTGATGCCAAACTACATTCAGTCCGTTGAGGTTAGTAGGCTGTGAGATGATTAACTCTCTCTTTGTTTTGCTGTTGCTTTTCCTTCAGTGGGTTTCTCTTAGATCTCTTATCTAAGTCTTATCACCTCCCGGTCACAGCCCTCCTTTTCTGCAGCCCTCAGGCTAACAGACACACACACCTTGGACAAATATTTGGCTGCCTTAAGACTGCTTTAACACAACCCTCCCACACACACACACACACACACACACACTTATACTGATTAATTTATTATTTCAAACTAATTTTCCCTTTAGTCGTTCTAGCAAATATTCTGTTCTTGTCTGTTATATCCTACCAGTTTTTTTTTTAAGGCCACTCCACTAGTTCTTTTCCAAAACAGCAGAATTCATTGTTAAGAATCAAGCTCATTACAATGTGCTAATGCCCTTTCCTCCTGTGGAACCATTGAGAGTGGTCATGTGACTTAGTTTAAAACACAAACTCTGCTGTAATCCAAACAGTATCCAGACCCAAGTCTGAGTCTGTGTGCTTTCCTGTCTCTCTGACCCCAGGCCGTGCTCTGACTGCAGTGATACAATCAGCTGGTTATCCATTAGCTCTTACTGACTACCTCTTCTTGCCACTTCGTCTCCCTGCGTCTTAAAGGGCCACCTTATTCAGAAATACCTCCCAAGAAGATCAAATGTACATCCTGTGGTATCTTGGGCAGTCTAAATGAATGAGAATAGCTTGACAGAAGAGCAGAAAGCATTCCTAATAATTTTGTACATAAAAATAGGCATACATGTCATATCAGAGTGAAGGCGCAAACTGTGTCTTTTAACATATAACATTATATAAACATTTCTTTATAAACAAGTTCTGAAACACATTCCTGTGATCCACCAATCATTTGACAAGCCTCAGAAAAAACACTTTCCTCCTACTTTTGAAAAACAATATAATGGATTTTAGGACTGATTCATATGTCTTGCTATTGCAGAATGCATAGTATGCCAGGTAAACTTGTCAAAAGAGTGTTTTTCACACACTTCAGAAATACTAAAATAGTTTATAAAATCGAATAGAAAGGCTAATCCGCTTGTAAATATAATGTTTCTCTGAAGTGTGTTTAGGTGTGCGTTACTGAAGCCTAAGTATAAGGAGAGAGCCAGAGGCAGACAGACAAGACAAAGTTTGAACATGACTCACATTATATACATATGTTAACAATCTACCACTGATCCACTGAGATAAAGTTGTCCTCGAGTCAGTGTCAAAGTCTCACCTGTTTTATAGATCACTCAGTGATCATGCAGCCACTGTAGAAGTCAAAGTGTTACTCAACTCCTGAGAGAAATTCAAACTGTACTCTTCTGTGTTTGTGTTTTGACTCCTCATCCTCTTCAGCGAAAATGCAATAAATAGTACTAAATGAAATCAAATCACGTAAGCTTATTTATCTTTCTTTCATTTCTCTAGAACATTCAGTGGCGGCCAAAACCGGTGGTTGCTTCTCTGGCGACGCTCAGGTTATCCTGGAGGGCAGGGCTACAAAAGAGATGCGCGACCTTCACCCTGGCGACCGTGTTTTGGCTTCTTCAACGTCAGATGGTCACGGCCCTCTTCTCTACAGCCCGGTCTTATCCTTTCTGGACCACCAGCCCAATGTCTCAAAGATCTTCTACATCATTGGCACCGAGACAGGACTTAATATTACTCTCACAGCTGCTCACCTAATCTATGTCACAGACTGCACTGGTGGGCTGAGTAAGCCAAAGTGGGAAGAGACAGCCGAAGAGCCACTTTTTGGCTCCATACAGGGGGGCAGGCCGAGCCGGGAAGCAGGTCTGAGAACAGTTTTTGCCAGTGATGTCCGGCCAGGACAATGCGTACGTACTTCACAAGGGGAAGTGGGCTCACAGGCAACACTTGCAGTCGTGACCTTTGTGGAAGAACAGAGGAGCACCGGGTTGTATGCCCCACTAACCCAACATGGGTCCATAGTGGTGAACGGCGTGCTGGCATCCTGCTATGCTGTTGTGGACAATCACCATTTGGCCCACTGGGTCCTGGCCCCACTGAGGTTCTTCTACAGCCTGATGGGACCTTCAGAACCGCAGACCGACGGCCTGCACTGGTACCCTTGGCTTCTACAGAGGCTGGGGCAAATGCTGTTGGACGCTGGACAGTTCCACCCCTGGGGGATTGAGCAAAGGACATAGATAGGAGCCAAAGAGACATGTTTCACACTGATGACTTCATTCACTTACCTGTATTCAGGAGCACCAAAGCACAGATTGAGGGACCACCAAAGACAATTGATTTTATAGTTCAAATGTGTTTCTATTTACCTGTATTTGCTGTACTTCACCAAACAGATAAACATGTAAAACTGTGCAAAAGACAAAGAGAGGGGACTGAGAAGATTCATTTTATACTTTAGGTAATTTCAATTTCATTCTTACCTGAAGATTAAGAGGAATGGGAAGACTGAGGTATGACAGAAAGTCAAATTTTAAACTTGAATACCAACAGAAATACTGACAGTATCTCTTCTATCCTAAATTTTGAGTTGAACATCTTTGTCACTATTTTTAAGTTCCCCTCAGAGCAGCTCAGAGATCAAAAACTGTAATTCAAAATGATCAGCTTTCATTAAAACAAAAAAACAGGTAGTGAAGTAAGGTTTCATCATTTCTTTGTACTGTAGTTACTGTAATCTGTCAACATTTATGCATCTTGAGATCAACCTGGGGCTCACTGATGTAGTTAGAAGAAATTTAAACCTTCTGTGACCCCTTTGGTAAACACATGAATGAAACAAGAAGGGAAAGGAGGAAGAAAAGAGTAGCCTGGAGAAAACTAGTGACTGAACAAGGTGTGTCATTAGGCTCTTTACGTACATTAGGTGTTTATACAGTTAAGTAATGCTAAGAAAAGAAAGACACCAAATGAACTTTAATGTTTACTGTCGGAATCATCACTGCAGTAAATCCACTGATTCTTTACCCTTCTTTATAGAGCCTGTACTGTATATTAGAATGAATTATTAAAATATTATGTAATTGGACGATGAGGGATGAGGTTCTATGTATTTACTGAACGCAATGTAGCAATTTACTAGTGTTGCATTATAGCATCACATCTGGAAACAGCTTTGTTGGAAAACTATTGAATAGCAAGGAACGATGATGGAGACGCTTTGTGAAGTACTGATGCAGGATAGTTAGGTTCGAAACGGCCATGCTGTCAATCTGTTTTTCAAAGTAAGTCATCTGCTTTCAGTCAACTTGATTGTCTCAAACTGATTAATATGGTTCATTTATACATCTTCATGTTTTTTTTATTATTAGTTATTGTATTTAAAAGGTTTTAATTGTGACATGCTTTTTTAATTGTTATTCGGGTTTTTAATTTTCAGGTCAGTTGTATCTAGATAAGGCATACACAACACTCAGGCTGTATTCAACTACTGTATTAAGCAAAAGCTATGCATCATATTAAATAACAGATAGTAAATCTCTTCAATCTTGAATAGTAAGTTACTTGATAGCTCTCCTTTGCATGGTCTTTTTTGTATTCCATCTATCACCTAAGACTTAAGACCTAGATTGGCAAAGGCACAGAAAATTTGATTTTTTCACACTATGGAAAGCAGATGTGATCGGTGGCTGAATGAGTATGGATAAACATGTTGTTCATAGTTCACACTTACTGAGTACGCTTTGTGAAGACTGAAACATTGCAAGTATCTAGGAACTCCAAGTTGTTATTCAGTATGCCTGATAAAAGATTTGTCACATATGTATATTAAGCTATTGTTGGAGAGACTATTTAAAGATCTATTTTTAGAAAAATAATGTAAACTTTTATTATTTTCGCCAACCCTGTGCATACTATTTGTATTTGAAACATAAAGATGTTGTTTTTAAACCAAAACTACTCTGTGCTTTATTTGGTAGCAACAAATGTCATACCCCATACATTAATAATCACTTAAGTACTAAGAAATAATGTTTACTCTATGTGTATTTAATTAACATATTATATTATATAACAGTTGTGGTTCGAAGATGTGTGGATAATCCACCGTTGCACGTTGATACATAAACAGCCACAAGCTAGTCATCACTGTATATGGTGTCGCATCACAACAGCTGGAACAATGTGAATGCAGCATGAATAGCTGTGGTTACAGGGTGGGCTGCTGGTTGGTTTCAGTACCACGGACAGCAGCACACAGCAACGCTCCTCTTTCCTCCTCTTGATGCCTGGATGTGTTTTCTTTTCTGCAGGGTGGAGAGTTAGTCCTTGAACACAGCACACCCTGCTGGATGCTTTATTATTTGCAGAGAAGACATAATTGGAGCAAAATCCACAGATTAACAGAATTCAGCACATAGAGCAAGACACTTTCTGTTTTTCTGCCCTTTCTACTGCTTATTTCTGTTTTTTCTAGGTGATGGAAGAGTAAAAAACAGGAATGAAAATATTTTTTTTAAAATGATGAATGATCAAAAACAATTATTAGAAATAATTCTGCTGTTTTCCCCTTGTCTTGTTTAATAGTAACTTACTTTATTCCTTCAGCTAAAATCAAAGCAGACTACACAGAAGAACCACAAACGATCAATAAACAAAAGGAGATTCTAAGTAATCTTTATTATTATTGGTCAGTTAGGTACAGGAAAAACCTTTTTGTCGTATCCCATAGCTTATCAGGAGACTCATCCATATAGACAGATAGAGAACCAGACCCAGGTGAAACACTCACAAAGTTACATATATTTAAAAATAAAAATATGAAAGTGATTGGTTTACCTAAATGTGCAGGTGATGCTCTCACGTGTGAGACTTTTTAAATACACATGAAAAACTCATGCACATCTCAAGTGGTTAAAATTCTGAAAATCATTACAAAAAATTTGTCCACCTGAGTCTGGTGGTTTAAAATGTTTTCTCTATGTGTCTCCTGTCTCCGCGTAATAATGTTTAACTCTGTTTGGACCACGATACCCCGGCAACATTTTGAGGCAAGGCTGACAACCAGCAATTATAATCAGGGACCGATTTGTGAGGGAACGGTGGAAAACACACAGTAACAGCCGCCATCCCCTTACTAAAATAAAGAAAATAAATAATAAAAAAATTGAAAAGAAAAAAAGGAAATTGCCTCAAAAGTGACCCAAGTATCACTGTCTTAAATTAAGGGTGTTCACACAACAACACATGGGAATTCAGCATGCTCACAGTAACTCACATACAGATATGAATGTCTTTATAGAATATGTATCTGTCATCACAGCTTGGCAAAATTACACTTATACACAACGTATGCACAATAACACCTGGAACCATAATACCAGCCAGTGGAAAAAGACCCAAATACGTTTTGAGTTGCCTTTGTCCAGTCGGAAAAACTTCCTGTAAAACTGATGACCTCATTCCTTGGTAGGTGGTGGTGATATCGTCCAATAACAATAGCCTATAGATAAAGAATTTATGTCTCCAAACAACCCATAAACACACATACATACATACAATCGCACACACAACCATTTTCTCTCACACTTATTACATGTTAGTAACATCATGAGAAAGGTGAATCTCTTCTGAGTCAGTGACTGAATGAATAACTGAATGTGAGATAGTTTGAACTACCTACAGTAAGCGGCTACGTTGAGAGCAGTAAACCTGACAGAAGTACAAAACACTCCATAACATCCTAAGTTGGCAATTATGTTGACATAGTTACATTAGGCTATATGTAATCATTGCTTGGCAGCATACAAAAATAAAAGAGGTTGCTCTGGTGCATATTCGGAATCATCTGCATTTGAGTTCAGTCGTCTCTATGCAAACGGAAGGAATTGTTTTTCGGCACATTTTTTTAAAAACGAATGAGGCTGGCTCAGTTATTATATATTTGATTAGCATTAGGGTGTAATCATGTCTGCCTAACTATTATACTACCAGTAGCAGCGTCTCAATGTTGTAGTTTGTCAGCTAGCTTTATAGCGAGCCTGGCTAATGCATATTTGGAATCCCTTGTGACAAAAAATAAAATAAATTCCTTGAAAAGATTCTTCAGATGCCCACTCCACACAACTTCACACTAATTTAAACAACGAGGAATACAAACCCTGACTGTCAAAAATGAAAGCAGTCGTGTTTTTCTACTCTATAGGACTCTAAGACCAGCATTTCTCAGATTTTTAAAACATTTCCGAATTGAGATTCCTGCTGTCTTTAACTAGGTTGGTGTCAGGTAACTAGTTAAATGCATATGCATGTATGCATTTATTTGGATTTTAACAACAGGTTAGTACTACTTATACCACCATTGGATTTAAACTAATACAACAGCCAAGGGCCCATGTTTTACAAGGAAATAATAGAAGTAGGAATAGAAGATGTGTCTAACAGCAGTAGGACACAGGGACTGATTAGAGTGACTGCAGATTTGTAAATAGCAAATACAAATACTGGCACCAAAACTGCAATGCTTCATCTTTACTGACACTCCCCCTGATATGCTCCACCATCACTTATCTATGGCCAGCATTGCAGTCAGCCACCAAAAATGACCAAAAGGCCACAGGTGAGGAAACAAACCTGCATGACCAAGAAGAAAATTACACTTATTTGTTTCAATAACCCACTTCTTCATTTTTTTTAGATATCTGAGAATTCAAGCCCAGTTGTTAATGAGTTAATGAGCTAATTTTGTTTTGTTTATTAAAATTCATCACTGTTTATGTGCTGTTTGGCTGGATAGACGTCTACACCTTCTTTTGTATATGGTTTGCCGGCTAGGAGTTGCTTTTGCTTTTTCAGTGTGTTACTCTGCTGGGTGAATGTTTCGAGCAAACATAGTGAGGACTATCCTGTTTTGCCTGTTTTTAGTGACTACCCTGCCCTCCCAATCCTTTATAAAAACAGGTTTTAGGGCTTATATGTGGCTACTCTGCTACACTTGGCATTGTCTTAATACATTTCACTGTACTCAATCCCTCAGTATCAGATGAATGAAAGCACGTCTCGATAGACATTTTCTCTGTTATGGTGGTGGGGAGTTTATGATGTGACATGACTAAGAACAAAACATTATAATGCAATTACAGTGGTAGCCACTGCAGAGGCACCCATCCCTGCATCTATACAGTATGATCAGGATTCTCTAATCAATTGCTCCGGTATTGATTAGCAACAATAGTGCAGCAAAGAGTGGCATCTTTGAAATGGCTACATCTGCAATTTGTAAATGTTGGCAGAAATCCACAGAAATGCCAAGATCCACTTTTAGCACAGTGTAGCAGACCTTAGAAATGCATGATTTCCACCAGGGCTGTGACAGCTCTGCTTCTATGGCCAAAGTCCTAGGAAAGACAGGTATCAGGTAGAGGGAAGGTAGGATTGAGGCAAGAGGAAGAGAGACATAAAGAAGGAAGCTGGAATGACGTCCCGTCCTCCTCTTTCACAGCCTTTGGGTGAAGTTTTCAGGGAATACTCCTTTAGCGGCATTTTCTTTGTTCTGCTGCCAGTCTTCCTGCTTCATTCCCATCAGCCAGCCATCATCCTAAACACACAGACATGCAAATAAGGCATATTCACCTCACTATCACCACAGTATATAACTCTGTGTGTGTGGGTGTGTGTGTACCTGCTCCTCTGGGTTGTCAAAGGTGACTACTAGCACCACATCACCAGTCTTCATCTCCAGTTCATCTGTGTCGTTGGCAGCATAATCATGCATCACCTGGACCTATATCACATAAATACTAACATCAGTTATCTCCATATATTCACACGATATATTTGGGTTAAGTAGATGTTAAGCATTATTGAGATTTTTTTATTCTGTGTCCTGTTTTACCTTGAACAGGAAGCCAGGTGGCATGTCTGCAGGTTCTGATGCTTCTTCTGTAGGTTCGGGCACTACTGCAGGTGTCTAGAAAGAAGAGGTTCCACTTACTGACATGTAGTGCACAATGAAAAACATATTCCTCTTTTAAAGAGACATGGTTGAGCCCTAAAAGTCTTATTAATAGAAAATTCTGCCGGCAGATTTTTTTTTAAATCATGTTTTTATTCAATGAATATGAATGAAAACTTGAAACTAGACAAACTGCTTTGAAAAAGAAAATGCTTGAATCAAGTACTGGAAATATCTTAGAAAAAAAAAATCAGCTAAATGTACTTTAATGTTACAATCTTTCCAGTATTTTCGGAAAATACGCCTTTTTACTTAAACATGGTATGGTTTTGGTAAATGAGGAGAGGCATGATTGACTATTATAGAAACTTTGAAAGATGTCATATCTAGCCACCTAAAACATTAACATTAATAACATTGTGTTTTATATATTAACATTCAAGGATTTTCAGAATAAATACATTAAAACAGTTATTGCATGTTATAGTAGTCCTTCTTGCTCTCACCTCCTCTGTCACTGCTTCCTCCACTGTTGCCGCAGCAGCTGCTGCAGACTCACCCTGGGAGCACGGAGACATAGAAGAATAAAAGAGAGAGATTAGAGAATGAGAAAGATATACAATTCAAATAAGGAGGGGGAAAGAATGAAAGAAGAACAGACTGACAAGACAAAGACAGACAAAAGGACAAGCCACACAGCCTAAACAGCAATGTTATGGCTAATACAATCAAGTATGTTGAATAGACAGTAAGCTTGGTTACTAGTGCACAGTTGCCATAAAGGTAAAGCTTTTGCACAGCATACTATGTGCATGGACTTGTGATTAGCAGTGACTTGGATTAACTGTGTGAAGCAGATGGCTATACTGTTCTCTTTCCCATTGCAATTAATTTCCAACTGTCCCTATGTGTCACAGTTGATGCATCCATGCTGCTTGTCCAGATGCATCCTAAATCTTTCCATCTCAAGATTTCTCCATCTTTTCACCTTTCATCCAAAATGTATCTCTCTATCATCTCAATGCATCCACCATTTTCGTCCAGATGCATCCCTCCATTTTTTATTCTCTCCTTGGTTACCTGACCCTCTTCATTATCCAACGTAGTGGCAGCTAATGTGGCTTCTTCCTCAGCGGCCTCAGCTGCAGGTGTTTCATCCTCTGTGGCGAGCACCTCTGTGACCGGCTGGCTCCCGTCATCGCCCCAGCCCTCCTGGTCTTCAGCCACAGGATCGTAATGAACCTGCTGGCTCTCATCATCCCCCCCTCCCTTCTGAGCCACAGCCACAGGGGCATAGAGAACTGGTTTGGTTCCGTCATCTCCCCAGCCCTCTGTCGCAGCTGCTATGGGGTCATAGCGGACAGGCTGTGAACCGTCATCCCCCCAGGCATCTGTAGCAGCAGCCACAGGGTCAAAGTGCTCCTGGGTGTCCTCTTCATGGGCACCACTGTTCTCAGGCTGAGGAGCAAGGGTCAGGTTTCAAGGAATCAAAGGGCATAAGAGATATTTTATCTTATGGGTATTATAATGGTTTTATAAATCAAACGGTTGAGGAACTTTTAGGGGCAGAATAGAAAGGTATAAGGGATACTTAAGGGCAGATTCAGTGGTTTAACATTCCAATGGGAGAAAAGGTTTGGGAATAAGGAGAACCAGAAGAATAAAGATTTTTTGCATATTGTGTATGGCCAGTCTATGAACAAAACAACAGGGTAAGGAACAAACTTTAATATTTTTTATGGACAAGGGATTTGGAAATTGATAGGGATGTTAAAGGGGCACAAAAAGGTACATAAGGGTTGTATTATAAGCCCATTAACTTAAATTTATATTTGATATATCTATATCTTACACTGACCATATTCCACCGTACTATATTTTTAGCCATGCAAGCAGCAAGGCTCTTTGTTCAACACCAAATTATTTTAATCACTATACAACCTTAATGATTGCCATTAAATTTGGTACAGACCTTCATGGTGCCCAGAGGACCATTCCTGATGATTTTGTCGATCATCTGACATTTATTTAAGCGCCATAATCAGGTCAAAATTATACTTTCATTCTCTTTCCAACAGCCCCAACTTGTTTTTAGCGCTAATTAGCAAATGTTAGCATTCTAACATGCTAAAACAAGACAGTAAACAAGCCAAACATTATGCCTGTTAATCATCTGCATGTTAGCATTGTGAGCATGTTAGCATGCAGTTTACTCAAAGCACCACGGTACCAAAGTTTACAGCCATTTGAAAATGGTTGATAGTGAAAACTGCTTGATTAGTAAAACCTGCAAAACCCTGAGATTGGCCTTTGGGGGTCATTAGATCAAACCTATTAGTAATTAAGGATAATCTAAGGGCATATGGAGTAGTTTTGCAATTTATGAGGAGAAACGGGGCCATGAAAGATGCCATGGACATCAATGTGGAGTTCAGCAGCAGATCATGATCATCACCATCATTATCATCATCATCATCATCATCATCATCATAAGACCCAAGAAGATTGATGTAGAAGGAAAATTCTTATATATAAGGCTCAGATTAAAATAAAAGACAGATGAAGATAAGGAAGGGTGGCAGCAGAAGGCAGAAATGCAAAAGCCTTTTCCCATCAGAAATAGATGTTGAATCTTCTGCGTGTAGTTAGAAAGCATGGTATTATATTCCCACGGCTATGTTCAGATGGAGAAAGAGGAGGGAAGCGTTGTAAGAGTAGTTGTGTCGTTCCTTTCTGAGGTATCACTGCTTTGCCACAAGCTCTAATACAGCAGAACTGTATATTTGCTGAGACACATCTCTCTTACAGTGATAGGGATGAACAAAAAGGTTAGTTGATGGTCAGAATGCCAAGTTTCAAGCAAGGCGAAGTTGCCCACTAGCTCTTATTAGTTTCCCTATGAAACAATCCACTGAAAACATGAGCAACTTCACTCAACTTTTAAAACAAAACTGTTCCCTGTGTGTCACATGAAGCATATACTGTTTGCAGCTGTATGCATGTAACAGCTACATGTTTGGTCAGTGCAACATGTGAACATACAGGGAGATGAAGGGAAACAGAAAGGAGGTAAAATCAGTTACAAATCATTTCATACACAAGGGGTTTTTAATTTGTATAGATATATATGTAATTAAATGTATGACATCTCTATAGGTTTCGGATCTACAGCATACTGTATATGATCAATATACTGTGCATCTTGCACGTATTCTGCATCAGAGGCTCTTAAGAGAGGATTTTTGGTGATCTGGCACCAAAATATTGATTGAATATACTGCATATAATAGTGTAAAATGTCCATTTGAAACTGAATTGACCCACTTTCATTCCCAAGTTCTATTTGTGCTGTATAACAATCTTTATAGTGTTCAGTGTTTAGTGTAATCACATCAAGCACTGCAGACACAAAGACAACGCACAAACAGATTTGGGACGGACAAATGAAAGAGATGCATTGATGGAGATGGCCATTATAGAAGCCCCTACTCAGACATAATTCAGGTGCATAGCATAAAGTCAGAAGGGGCTTGTATAAAAATGAATGAATTGATGGGTACGATGAACACGAATAAAAATATGCTGATGAAGATGATGACCATATTGATAATTATAAACTTTGGCGACTTAAAACACGTGTATTAAGATGAGGATGATATGCTTACCCATGAATCCCAGTTTGCAGGCTGTGGAAAAAGCAACAGGAAGCAACAGAATGATAAGACAGCACAAAACTCTTCACAAAGCTGTTGCTTAATGCCTGTTTCATTCAAAAATAAATGTTTCCAGCGCAGGTCCCATGCTCTAAACCTGCAAGCCCATAGCAATAGATCTCCAGCAAAACAAGAGTACAGGCAATACTAGGTAAAGTCTGAAGAGGTGGCCACTCTCATATGTTTATTGTTCATATCAGTCACCCACAGAGTGAGTCGAATGTAAGAGAAAGGTGTTCTGGAAAACAAGCAGTCAGTCTCAAAATCAAATTTCATTCATTTTCATTCAGAATCAACACAATTTCCCCTAACAACGTAAATTAGATCTTGACACAACTTGTATAAATGTCTCGCAGTTCTCACTTGCCTTATTGCAAATGTAGCCTACTATTTACCCCCCCCCCAAAAAAAAATTGGGAGACAATAAAGAACTAATTTGTACTAAAGAAGCCATCTCATGTAAAGAAGATAATCATTTGGACAAATCTGTGACAGGACTGCATTGAATTATCATTATAGTTAAAGCTAACTGCACTC